CATAATTCTATAAAAACCAAAATATGTTACAAAAAAAGTTATTTAAACTTTTATATATAAAACTATATATAAACTACATATATATAGCAATAAAATCGTAAATGAGTGAAATTGACTCTCTTCGACAATCTATAGTGTTAAAAATAAGTTGTGGCGAAGTCGGTGAAGTATTTTCGAAAATTTTAAGACACTGCATATAACTATAACAATTTATGTTATGAAATATAATTTGTGTTTCCTGTATACAAAGCGTTATTGTTTACATCATAGGAAGTTATTTATCGGTAAATTATAATTTATAATTTAATTTAATAGAATAAGGCTGATCAAAAAATGAAAACACCTATTTTCAATCATGATAAAACTATAAGAAATGTAACATTGTTTTATAAAAACTGAATGGAAATTCTTATTTTTATTGTATATTGGCAGAATGTACAACTACTTTTATTTCTTATTAATAATGCTTTGAATATCGATGCTGTTTTTTAATTCTTGTCTGTTTTGAAGTATTTTTACTCTTCTTCCACCACATTGAAACTTCTTTCCTTCGAAGTACACTTCGTTAGTCAGCAACCTTCAATAGTTTTCAACAATATTTAAATCGATGGATCTCACGAGTCCGTCGATATACGTGGTTTTCTATAATATCTCATAGTATCGTATAGCGTATTGCAGTGTAGTGTAATCCGAAGAAAATGGAAAGGAACGGAGATGTTCCATCGGAAACGTAACGGTTTATCTCGTCCACAATATAAACATTTCGATTCATTTACGAAACGACATACAATAGAATGGACCTCCCTATTACGTAACAAGCTACACGATCGAAGCCGGCCCAATGTTTGCTTTAATCATACCGAGTGTTTCCGAACATGCCTGCAAAGTTCAAGACTGCCGGCAAGAAACTTGGCCTCTTCATTCTTGTCTCACAGACAAGCACCGCGCAGCGTAAATTTTTTTTTACCGGGACGACTACATTGCGATCGAAACTTTTGCTGAACCACATTTCTACGGATGCATTTTCACGAACCGACCCGGCTGCACTTCTTCTCGTCCTCCGTGGACGCACTCGGAGGAGCACTACCAAAAGACGAGGAGTCGCGTCCAACGATTCGCGGACGTTTCTTATCGAGATTGAAGACACTTGAGCCGATCGTAGGGCACCCGGAATACAATGAACACCGGAATGTGCGCACTTACCACGAAAGCGCTGCCCTTTGGAAACGTCAGCCGCCTGCGTCTGGAAAGGGTCTCCGGTGACCTTTGACCCGGACCGCTTAAGATGGTGTCATTACGGTGATACACTGGGTCCCCGAGGGCCAGCTCCAGGACCAGGATCTCGGCGAGAATCAGGACGAGCCACGGGGCTCTCATTTCTTGGAATTACCGACTGAAATCAGCCGTTTCGCGGAGCGGAAGACCTCAGACCTCTCTTGGGAGCCGCCGGCCGGAAAAGTTTTTCAGGGAAGCCGGAAACATCTTTCGCGGTTAACGCCGAGCTGCGCCGGCTGACGTTTCGCTCGCGAACTGATGCACGCCGAGACGGTCACGGCAATCTCAAGAATCGTCGGTGAACAGAAACGTGTTTGGCCACTGTGTTATCAGGCCCCGGTGGTTAGTCCCGAGACTCACTGTCACGCGACCACGGTTGACTTTTCTAATCAGATGCCTCCGAATGATTTGACCTGACGTTAGATGACCAAGACGGACGTCAGATCTTGGAACTGTTACGTCCTGCTCCATTTCTTTTTGTTGTTCGTGTAACTTACAAGAAGAATGCGAGGCCAACCGATTTTATTCGAACATTATACACGTATAAATCTATATCTCGTTTATTTTTTATGATAGGAACAAATGTCAGTGGAGAACATTATTTCGTTGAAACACTGCAATGGGATAAGAAATGTTGTCGATTTCGTATTTTTCGAGATTTCAGAGTTGTCGGATTTTTTTTTTTAATGGAATTACAGTAGAACTTTGCTCGTCGGAACTCCATTTATTGGAGCGAAATTTTGAGTAATGCCCGATCTAATTAACTTCCGCAGAACTCCTGATGTTGTACCGTATTTTGGTGTTAACTTCTTTTTACTGTCCTTTTTCATCTGACTCGATTCGTGGAAAGAAATATTTTGGAAAACTATTATGTTGTTAGATGGTGTAGACTACATCATAAATAATTTTTATCATCAAAATCTTTTTCTCGCAAATCGAGTCAGATAAGAGGTAACTGCCACTTTTACAAAATACGGTACAATATTAGTGACTCCGCGTGATAGCATGCCGGCAATCTAAAAGTTAACAAAAATCGTAAAAGATCAGTTTAACCGTTGAACTAGCAAACCAGTCAAGATGACTGACTTCACATTTTTTTCTATTACATTTACTGGACTTATAAAACTGTTTTAATGAGAAATCTTTCCCTGAAGCCCTTTATCCAGGCGTATACTTACTAGAATCGAAATCGTACAAAGTTTGTGTAAACCTGATCTTGACATTGCAATAAAAGAATATACAGTGCGGACCCGAATTTGTACTACAATCGAGTAGGAGGTGAACTGAATCTTTTACAAAGATGAATAAACTTTAAAGTCGATTTTCTCGAAAATGGAGCACCGAATAAAGAACTGTTACACCAAATTTGTTTCTTAACAGTTTTCTATTCGGGACTCTGTTTTCGAGAAAATCGACTTTAAAGTTCACGTATCTTTGTAAAGGATTTAGTTGTTTTCTATTCTTCTGCCGAAATTGCCTCCGTTAAGATAGTATTTACAAATATTAATTGTTGCGAATTACGTAGTGAACGGAATTTTTCTATTGTCTATTTATATTGTTTTCTATTTTTATTATTGTCAATGTTTATGTATTAAATTTTTCTACTGATTTTTCTATTCAATTCTTAATCGCTAATCGCGATTAACAATTGAAAAAAATTCAATCGTTAACTGCGGTTAACGATTAACATTAAAATTTCAGTCGTTAATTACAACTAATGATGGAGCAACATTACTGTAGGAGCCGAAGATTAACGATTTCGGAGCGATCTGCGAAATTACAATACCGATCGGTGTCGCGGCCTCCCGTGAGTTAACCATACGCGACGTACGTGAGCGCGCGTACGTGAGCGTCGCGCATAAACATTGCGACGTTCCTAGGGCAATCGGCGGGAGTTAGACGCTGTTCGAGCGAGGCGGCCGAATGCGAAAGGAGACTCGTAACGTTCCATCCAGCGGGCGGATAAAAGAACGCGGTCGCAGGGCGCGAGGCAGAACGCGATGAGCATCGTACACGATTACGTCACTGTTTCGTGACTCGTAGCGCGTACGGATAAAAGAACGTGCTCGCTGGGCGCGAAGCAGATCTGTACGATTACGTAACTCTTTTAACACGTTGACTGCCGCGTCACCCGTATTCGGGTGACAGCAAAAGTTCTCACCAGGCCACGTCACCCGTAATTCGGGTGACGTTGATTTGACTACTTACAAAGGATTTCCGAAAATATTTCGACAAATATTCTACAGGAGGTAATGAAACTATTGAATTCTTATAAAAATGGTTTATTAAAAAAATTATTCGCAGTGTATAACATTAAAACATTCTCTGCAAAGTTGAGGTTGATCAGGACAGCTTGGACAAAATGTTGTTTGTTTTTTCAGATATGCTCGTGCCTCTGATCGGTCCATTTCGTATCTTTTATTTGAACTGTAGCTTCCTCGGTATCATCAACATTTCTTTCTTCTTCTGTTGAAATTTTAGCCTCGAACAAAAATTAATCTATAGTTTACTTAGTACTAAGATACTAAGATATCGGTTTACATTTTCGCCGGTTCCGTCAGCGGGCAACGACGGTGATGTAAACTGTATATAGTAGATACCGCGATACATCATCACCGGTACCATTAGATATACATCGTGCCCTGACTGTTTGGGGATCCCAGCGTCACGTATACAATGTGAAACGCGACAAATAAA